CCCACTTCCTTCCCTTTCTTATCCTGCCCACCCCCTCCTTGCTTATCTCCCTCAACTCCCTCAGTAATAAAAGATTAATAATGCAGAGAAATTATGTTATTCAGACACTAGGATTGGTTGTAGATTTGAATAAGCTTGTATTTACTTTGGTCATAATTATGAAATTTGGGTAATGGTTATAATTACCAATGTTTATTTTTTGTGGTATTTAATTATATTTGTTTAAGCACTCTTCATATATTTATTTATTTGATTTTTTCAAGTGTATATCTTTAAACCTTAAAAGTGTTGTAGTGTGTTGTAGGTGGTTATCGTGGATAATTTACCTTTATATTTCTATTTGATTTGTATTTTGTGTATGGCAAGCGCATGATTACTGAGGAAGAAATGGTGCCAGTGTGAGACAGTAGCATGCAAAGTGTGCATCGATGAGAGGGACACGGATATAAAAGTATCCTTTTAATATATGATAAAAAAATTAAACCAGATGTTCAAATTAGGGATGCAATTGAGTTACTGGAGAAGTTATGTCTTGCTGGAAACAGAAGATACACTCAGAGAATGAAAGACAGAATTGAAGTATGCAGGCTTGATCGCGCCTGTGATTTGAAAATTGAATGAATGTTCAGCATAACAGTTGTTCGAACCATCTACCATCATGAAAAAGATCAAAAGAGAGAAAAGACGTATTAATCCCAAAAGGCTTAGCCAGAAACGTGAAGAGTGCATGGCTGACATAGAACAAATGAGGGTAATGAAAACAGCTGCAGTGTAAGTTCAAGTCCGTTGATGCCATGAATGACTGGTTGAAGAACGATGCTGTCACTACAACTTGTGGTTGCTGTTGCTGTTGTGGTCATCAGTCACTGCTTGACCACCAATAATAACCTTGGTTTACACTCCAATTTTTAGTTAAGACTTAAGGCAGTACTGAAAAATGCAGGTACAAATAAATATTTTACTTTATTTCTAACTTGGGTTTTTCTTTCCTTCTTGCTTTCAAGTGACCGGTGACAAAACAATTAAACAATTGCATAACTTGCTAAAAGATATCTCGAAACTTTAAGACAAGAAAGCGTTCAAAATACATGCCATATACTTTGCACTTTGTATTTACAGGAGTTGGGGTGGAGATGCTGTTACTGCAGTGTTTATCTAATCGACAATAAATTTACTTCCATTCAGAAAAAATGGATTTAGCCGATATTTTTTCCAGTTCACAGATACTCGTTTATTGAATTATTAAAACAGCATCAAAATCTTGGCAGACTGCAAAACAATCCTCGAATACGCGATCAAAACATCATACGAATATAATAACACAGGGAAGTGGTTGGTCCAATAAAACCAGCCAAATGATAGCCTTTCGCGTTTTTTTATGATTGCCATCAGAATGAATTGTAAAGCAAATAACAATGAATGCACATGCACTGCAGAACAGTAGAACCGTAAAAGTTAAACGACAGTAGGAGGCAGTGTCAGTGGATCCTCGGGCCATGGGCGAGTAATGTGCAACGGCGGTCCAGTCCTCAAACGAATTAAGGCTTCGAATCTGTCTTACCCGAGAAAAAAATGTGGTATTGAGCGGATGTCCCCCCAATCCCTTGCCCGTTGTTGTCATGGGGGG